TACAGCAATAAAAAGGGAAAAGAGAGGGTTCTACAAAGTTAGCCATCTTTTGCTCAGGAACTGGCTGGGCATTGATTTACCTGTGGGAGATGGTGAGTTAGTTCCTTTGCATGCTTGTTTTGTCTCCTTCTCTTTTCCTTTTGCTTATTAAACAGTTTTTGTCCGGATCCACAAGTTCTATTAGTTTTACCGTTCCTTTCTTCTTCCCCGGTCCCACTGGGGTGAGGGGGTGGGTAGTAAGCAAGCAGCTGTATGGTGCTTATCTGCCTAATGGGATTAATCCACAATGGTCTCATATTCCATTAATTTAAATTAGTTTACAAGTTATGGACACCAAACTGACTTCTGTGATGCAAAAGAACTTTGGGCTTTTAACATTTCTGGAAATTGTAAGAAGCCTTGTCCCAATGACATGATGTGTCTGGTTTGTATGTAATATATTAATAATATTCCGCAGTTGCGCTGACCAGTATGGTTCATAGACAAGTGCATGATGCTTTCTTGAGATGCAGAAAGGGGAGACCTTGGAGTTGATGGTGCACGTTGAGTTGAGTATCATGGAGATAGAAGGCAATAATTGCCTTTTCAAAGCAGAATAGAGCTGACTGAGAAACTGTTAATAAGTTATTAAGTAACTGAAACTTTCAAAACTCTCATGTGCTGATATGTCAAAAATCTGGACTTTGTCTCAATAGATCAGTATATTCTTAAAATGGAGTAGTTTTATCAGGAACAAAGCAGTTACTTTAGAATTGACTGTTGCAGTCCCACACATCAGTAAATATGTAAGCAAAATAAAGCATCAAAGTAAATTATTTCAAGCAAATAAAATATCATGAGAACTATTATTGTAATACTTTCAGACTAAGCAACAAAACTTGCATGTTTATAAACATGCCAGCTACATGAGTCCTTAAATAGTCCTGAATTACTCATTTACAGTGTGTCATTTTATGATTATTTCCTGTAATTAGAAAGAATCCTGATATACTAGCTTTCTCCACATGGTAAAATCTGATAAGGGCTTTCAGTGTTAGTCTGTTTTTGTTACTGTGTACATGTAGGAAAAAAACCTAAAGATTTGAACTTGGAAACTTGTTGTCACAGCAGGGCTGTCCACAGTGAACTACAAGTTTGCATTCCTACCACATGCAGTAAGGTTTTCTCTATAGACTCCTGTCACTGAGGAATTTAGCAAGGAACAAGAAATCTTCAGTCAGAGAAGGGCCACAAGTGTGTGAAAAGCTAGCCACACATAAACACTAAAGGTCATTAGCAGGCTCCTAAACTCCTATCTAGGAATTAGTTTTTTAGATCATTAAGGGTAAAAAGGCCTAGGAAATGAATAGGACTCAGTGTCCTATTAAAAATTAGCCAGAACAATTAAAAGGTTTTCTAGTTTTTAATGGGAACCAGACCTGATGCCTCATTTTCCTTGTCTAGTGGACTGTTTCTGCATTTTGAATGACATTAATTTTATGTCCTTGTATTTGTAAAGAAATATCTTGAACTACTTTTTTTTGTATAGGAGTTGTAAATTATTTACAATGAGGGCTGTGAAATCTTGGGAGATGTAGAATCTAGTGTCTCCCTAAGATTGTGTTACTGAATCCAGGTCTTGTGACTCTGAACTATTACAGTTAATTGTGATAGGATTGCTTCTGGTGTGTGCAAATGTATATTTTGCAAATTTCTAATACAGTTGCTGTATTTTGCAACTCTATGAGTTAAAATGCTCATTTGGCTGCAAATGCACAGCCTTTTTTGCTGTGAGGTGTCTCTCCTTATGGTGTTACGTGTTTCCCTAAACTCAGTTTTCTAATTTCAACAGCAGCCTTTCTGCTTTCATTTCAATGTAAATTCCTTGCTGCTGAGTGGATGACTGATAGTTATTTAAGAGCTATCTTCTCCTCCACTGTATATTTTTCCTTAAGCCTGTAGTCATCTCTTGACTTTGGCACAAGAAAATAATGAACAGTGCACCTTTAGAATTTTAGAATGTAATTTTTGGAGAGGTTTATTAAATACTTTCTTTCCTTATCTTTGCATCTTACATGCATGCCTTACAAAAAAATCCAGAGGGAGGAAGAGAGAGAAAGAAAGAAAGAGGAGAGAAAGAGAGAGAAAGAAAGAAAGAGGAGAGAGAGAGAAAGAGAGAAAGAAAGAAAGAAAGAGAGAAAGAAAGAGAAAAAAAACCTCTGTAATGTCTGATTTGCCTGCAGGCCTGCCGCTTTGGAGGAAAACAAGCCCACAAGTTCCCAAACTTTTTCACTCTATAGCTGTTATACTCATTTCCATCCCCATATGCCTTAGGCTCCAAATCTTCCCACTTAACCTTCTGGTAATAATCAAGGTAATCTATGAATACAAGCCATATGATTTTCCTCAAAGGATAAAAAAGAAAAAATAAATTTGGATGAGGAAAAGTGGACTGCAGATAAATGGGATGGGGATGGGGAGAATAAAAGGACAGGAGAAAGGCAGGTCAAGATGATCTTCCTCACAATCTTAATTTTGTACTTGGTCATTCATTTACTCTAGATGCAGAATTCCTTTCTGCAGTGAGTGAATTGCCCTGTCATTAACATAAAATTAGCTCCAAATGGTCTTGGCCAAGGGCTTTGAAATATGTTAGTATAGAACCACACACTCAAAAACATGTGGGAATCCATGTGGGCTTCCAGATGTGAGAATCTTCTGTGTTACAAATATAGTTATGTTTATATAGCCTAATAATCTGCTCAGTGGATATACTGTAGATGCAGCCGTGCTTCAGTAGTGGTCTGTTATGTGGCGCTCTGCCTTAGTGAATGCATCTTCTTTCTTATAGCAAGTCCATTCTGATAATGGCTACTTGTAAACAAACATTGGCATGCAAGTTAAAATACTCTGTCATGAAATGTAAGGAATTCAGCATGAGCTAGTAGATTGAATTGAGAGTGGAAATTTGAAAAATTTCATGTTTCATTTTTGATTCCTCATAGTATTTTGCTGCTAATTGTTTTTCCTTGTCTGATTTACGTTTCGTCAGTGAATACTTTCTGCACTAGGATTAAAACTTGAAAGCCCGAGAAAAGTTTGAAGAAGTCATAATGTTTTCTGTGTTATCTAAATAAGTGTTTAAGGTAGTGATTTGATTTCAGTTATATTATCAAAAATACAAGACTATCTGAATCCCAGTATAATTACCTGATTTTGTGTTCATCTAAGTAATGATCTCTACCCACAGAGATAGTCTGTTGATGCTCTTTTTCTTTCTTTTTTTTTTTTTATGTTTAAGAGCCCGTATTATCTTGATTTCTTTAATGCAGTTGTCTTCTGTTGTATGTAGTGTAAGAAGAGAACTTGGAGTATCTTTGGGAAGGAAATTGATCCGTGCAGGAAGACTAGTGGGTTGAATAAATCTATAAAGCTGAGCTTAAGCACATCAATTAGTGCCTGAACTCTGCAGTATTCAATCTGTAGCAGTGACTATTAGCTATTCTTAATCTTTGAATGTGTAAGTACAGAATGGTGACTGACGGTAACCTGAAATGTCATTCTTGTTCACTTTGTAGTGCCACCGAGTAATTTTTAGTAGGCACAAATTTTTCAAAGAAATTCTGTTCCTTTCCTGACTGAAAACTGTCTTTATTCATGAACATGAATATTCAGTTTCAGGTGCAATCCATACACCTTGTGCTACTTTGGCTGTGATCTCCTTATGTAATATACATCAAACAGGATCATGTCACTCCTGTAGTTGGATCAGAGACCTTCAGGGGGAAAAAAAATCAACTCTACATCTGATATTGATCTCTGCTCTGAAATGACAGTAGCTCCATCCTCTAGCACAATGGAAAGTAAATTCTCTGTAGTAGTCATTACACAATGAATAAAATTGTTGTTTGACATAAATCACTGTAGCCTAAGAGTTCATTAGACTGTCATCTGATCCTTTGTCTCTTGGAGGTTGGGTAAAACTGAGGCTTTTATTGTAGAAAGCATCTTTTTCCATTAAATTTTGCATATTGTTTCCAACATTTTAATATATATTATTATATCTCCTATATATCCTATTTCATGGGCAAGTGTATTATGCATATCTAAAATAGGTCTTGTACTTACCATTATAATCTTTAAAGTGTCAGGGAGTATTGTGCTTCTCTGTTTTCAGGAGCATTAAGGATTGTAAAAGCTGGAAGTAAATTCCCATTGCAAACCTCTTTGAGCAAAATATCCTTTGCTATTCATCACCATAACCAACTAATATCAGTTGTTATCTTTAGTAACAAATTTTAAGAAATGTCCAGGAAAGGAGACCTGTATGATAAAAAATGATAGGAGTGTGATACTCTCTGAATAAGAAAATGACTGTAAAGATACACTGAGCTACGCAGCAGTGACAGCTTGAAGGAAGCACTAAAACTGTCCTACAGAATACAGAAGAAGAATTTCTTCTGTCTCATGCCATGGGTTATGCTTGACATGGTTGAGAGAGGCTGTGTGGCGTTTCTACAGTGAGAGACTCTGAATACTTCAGTCAGTATGTGACAGTGTTTGTGGTCTGGTGCTGTCCAAAACTGTTTCTGACCCCAGTTGCATTGTCCCAACAGTCTTTTAGCAATGCGCTATTTTTCTTTCAGTAACTAAAATCCTAAAGTGTGTGCGTGTGTGTCTATGCATACATAACAAACCAAGATATATGAAAAAGTACATGCTCTGGTAATTAAAAAGCAGTCAGATCTAGTGCAAGACCACGCAAAGTCAAAGGCCTCAGTGCCTTGCAGACGTCAGACTTCTGTCCTAACTTTCAGCACAGAATCTATCTAGAACCTAGTGAGGATGTTACATAAATGATGAAATTATGTAAATGTATATTTAAATTAAGTTTGAATTGAAAAACATTTATATTGGTATAAGGGTTCTGCCAGTGCTTTTGTATCTCTCAAACTGTTTTATGGTGCTGCTTTTAATTAATTATATTTTGACAGAAGAAATTCTCTCCTTTTTTTTTTCAGACTGAAGAACAAATGAGCCTCTCTGAAGAGCAGCTTAAGACCCTTCTGGAAGAATGTATGCAGCCTGAGAGAACAATAAGTAACGTTACCATGCCAAAGTCTCAGGAATCTCTTTCTTTTGGATTAAGTCCCCCTTGTTACACAAGTCAAGACTCCACTCTTCACTCCACATCTACTCTTTCCAAAATGTTAGTTGAAGACCATATTGTAGGGATGTTAATGGCTCAGGAAAAGGCTGGACTTGAAGACAAAAGCTTATGTGCAGAGAGCAAAATCCCTGGCTACTATATCAGCAAAGCATTGGCTGGTAGTCACTTATCAAAGGATTCACTGGCCCTAACAGAGGAACCTGATGACCTAGAAGGTTTACAGAAGATGGGAGATGAGAGTATTACTGAAGGTTACTTTATGTCAAGAGCACTCAACACAAAAAGATTGAAGAAACCTTCTTTCTTGGGTGAACCATTACATTGCATCAGCATGAACAATGAGCCATGCACAGAGGCTGACATTCTCAGCATACCACTGCAAACCAAAGGAGGTGAGACTCTTAACAACCCTTTAGAATAGGCTTTTGATTATAAAGAAAAAAACCTAAGCAGGTTCTCACCAAAGATATGCACCAATACACACTGATTATTATGGTGGGCCAAGGATGTTCTTTTATAAAACTGTGCCAAAAATAATACGCACAAAGTAACAGAATGTTTATTAAAATTCTTGCTCTGACATAATTGACTAGGAGTTTTATGAAATACATCACTGACGTTGATTAATTCTGTCAAACAGTGTTGACAACACATATGGGTTATCTTTTTGGTAGTAGAAAGTCATGTTCCCTGTTCTGTGGAGAGTAAATATTCTCCCAGTAGTTGGTACAATAATTCACTGAAAAATCCAAGTGTTTTGTGCAAGTTTTTAATAAGGTAAACTCAGTAGTATAGAAATAAATATGACCTAGCTTTGTTAAAAATACTAAACTGCTTTCAGGGAGTTCAAATTTACATATAGAAGATACCAAAATTCATAAATACTGCACAATTTCTATATAAATTACTTCTAGTCTGGTAAAAGAAAGAAAGAAAGAATAGACTTTAACCAGCAAAAAATGAAAACCTCTACCTGATGTTATAAAAGGATTGTGGAAATGTCTCTGTTTTTTATGTCCTATGTGTACCAGAGTAATGCGAGGGGTATTTTGATTGTCTGTTTTCAGTAGTGACTGAGTAATGTTCAACTGTGTAGAACTCAGTTCTGTATGGTCAGTAAACATCTTGGGTTTATGATGGTTTTGCTTACCAATTTTGTTTTGAGGGGGGGAGTATTCTGAATTTTCGGTCTCTGATTTATTTTAATTTTTTTGATAAAAAAGTAAAAACAAAACCAAGGAGATAATTACAGATATTGTAATTTCATCAGGCTTTGAATTTTTGTGTTAGTGTCTAATTTTTTAAAGTGGTGTGAACAGGTAACTTTTAGGCATAATAAAAGTAAGTGCAAAAATAAAACCCCCTTCAGAGGTTTGTAACTGCTAAATATTTTACAGATATCCATGTTTAATTTTATATTAATTATATTCAGATGTATTGTATTCTGTTAGTATTAATGTTATGATTAAACAAACATCCAAAATTAGCATTTAAGTAGGCAGCAGTCCATTCTTATTATTTTTGTTAATGTACTGTTTACAAGTAAATGTATAGCATAAAACAGAAAACCCTGATACCTTTCCATGGAATTAATTTGTTTCCCACAAAGGTGATTCACTTCTGTCTGAAGCAATTATTCCTGGCCATAAGCAAAAGGGTGTGATGTTTGTCAAATCTGTAAAGTTGCTTAATGTATTCTATAGATAATCTGGTTGTTAGTTCAGACATGATTAGATATGCTAATTGTATTGAGGAATGGAGATCCCAGTGGAATCCAGTTTAAGGCAAATACATCTGCAGATGAAGGTGTGAGAAGTGTCAGGTGTTATTTTTATTTTTAAGAGATATTTACATAGTTGAGCTTTGTTATGGTCTTAATTCTAAAGGACATTTAAATGTGTATGCATAATCTTCTGTAAGTAGTTTGATTTTCTTGCTGACTTACACATGGCTTAAATTCTCTTTAGTGCCGGGTAAGCAAAAAAACCTCTGTTTGTGTGAAGCTGGTTTAGCACAATTTTGGTTTTGCAGTCCTTATGGTACTGTAGTCTGTGATATCGATATACTGTAATACATTAAATGATATTTTAAGAAAAGCATAATTATGAACATAATGCATATGTATATACTTGTGTATATATATGTCTGAAGGAAACTCTCATGTGCCTTCACAGATAAGTAATTCCTGTTTCTTGAAAGAAGCAGTAATCTGCATCCGGCTCATATGCATGTAAACATAGATGATGTTTAATGAGGGAAACAGAATCCAGACTTACCCATATACAGATATAAAAAGGCTGGTATTTCTCAGTTGTATGAGCCAATTAGTAATTATTTCCAGCTCTGTTTTGGGGGGCTATATTAAGTAGAAGTTGTATCACAAACTGTTGTTGCAAATAATGCAAATATTTGCAAATAATGGTGTGCTTACAGTGGTTCAGCATATTTTTCATATTGCAAATAATGGTGTGCTTACAGTGGCTCAGCATATTTTTATTTTCTTTTTTTTTCAGATGGTATGAACATTGAAATTTGAGGGGAGAGTGTATGCTTCTTTGCACAACTGTTTTTCTGAAAGTGTGGTTAAATTTCCATCACTGATATTATTCTGATTCAGTATGATTTCGAGCAACCTGAAGGGAATGAATTATCACCATTGAAAATGTTCCATGAGTTGACTTATTCTTAAGAGATAATTATTATTGTCATTATAATATATTGTTGCAGTTTGATTTCAAAATAAACTCTTGCATTTCATTAAATTAAATACCTAAGAAATAAATGTACGCACACATTTGTGTAGCTGTGTGTCTGACAGATATGCATGTCTTTGTGAAAAATGTAAAATAAAACTTGGAAAGTTCAGTATCTACTGATGGGGCTTTATTAGAGCAGATGTGAAATGTATATAATAATTTTATTTTTCTTCACACACACACAATCTAGATTTTTCATAAATGTAGCTAAAACCTGGCCTCTGGTTACCCCACTGCAGTTTCCTGGAGCTTGCAGCCTGTCTGAGTAAGAGCCCTGACTCAGGGAAGGACCCAGCTGTGTGCTAAGTTTTTTGCCCTGGGGCTGTCTGTTGGCTGGACAGCTGGTTTGGTTGAAGGTTTGACTTGCACAAATCCTCTGCTGGATTAGAGCATCAGCGCTTGTCTGCTCAGGTCTGCCTGAATCTTGCCTGCAAAGAGTGTAACCACACAGCAAACAGTGGTATCCTCTAGTTAAGAAATGTAACTAAATGAGGAGAAATTGCAGTCCCTGGTGAAGGCTTGGTGTGAGAGAAAGTGAAGGAGTTCAGAAGTTTGCCCCAGCAGTTACTGGATTGTGAAACATTATAGTAATGGCTACCTGAGGAGAGGGTAATGCAGCTGGCTTGTGTTTGAGATAATAGTAACAATTCATTACAGGTTTTTGATTGACTAGTCTTTACTGTTTTTCCTGATTTTCTCCTTATTTACTCAGCTGATGGTCAGTTTTTTATTTCATGCACTGCAGTGTCAAAATAAGAAGACATTATTAAAAAAACATGGTTCTTTCGAAAAAGTTCTTTTGTTAAGGTGGAGAGATATTCTAGCAAAGAAGATTCAATAGATTTTTCCTGTTGACAAACTCTCATGTGATTTGACCTAAAAGGATAAATTATTTCTCAGATCCTATACTAGCCATTTAACATTCACCAAGAAAAGATGTACAGATAGAATGTTAAATCTACAATGGCTGTTAGCACATAGGGCTTACTTGATCTAATGTGAATGTTTAAATCAATGCACATATTGGCCCAGATTTTAATCTAATTTACAGAGTTACCATTAGGAGTGGATGCACTCCTGGGGAAATGGTAATCGTGTGGATATAGCAGAGATCAGAATCTAACCTACTTGCTTTTCATTAAAATCAGAATGGGACATTATATTTGTAACAAGCAAGTGCTATTTCTTCTTTTATTTTCTGATATTTTTACTCACTCCGCAACGGCAATAACAAACCTGTGGATACTGGGTGTTCTGCATAGGATTGCTGTAAGCACGTTTCATGGAGCTTTGTAAATCTCACCTAGATGTATTTCTCATCTTCCTTAAAGATGTTAAGCCTGTGTCATAATTTCAATAGCATATATATGATCAAAGCAATACCAACAAGTTTTTTCAATACTATTTTCTGTGACCATATGGTATTCATGCATTACTGTTTGCTGGATGTAATCTTTCCACAGTCCAGTTATTTTCACATTGAACTTGTGTTTTATAGAGATCTTCTCAAAAACAAGTGTTCCAAGTGCTTGGGTAGTTTTTTAAAAAAATCAAGTTCTGTTTAGAGATTATATATAGTAAATAATTTTTAACTTTCTTGTTTTATTATGTTATCTTAACTCTCTTGTTGTTATGAAAAAGCTTTTCCTCAAGGAAGGGTCGCGGTTGCTGACTAAGCTTTGCAACATCCCTGAGGCCATGAATGCACTTTTTATTCACGTCTGGCATTTCAGGGATAGGGAGGTAAGTTTGAATGACTATTGACTTGAAGTGTATATTCCAACAGGAGCTGTGTGACTTAACTTTTAGTCTTGGGAAGTGCTAAGCACCCTGCACCAGTTGCAGTCACTGCAAACCACAGGGATGTAGTACTCATGGCCTGGTATTCCAAAGGTGTGTTGGGTCAGTACCCAAACTCAGAGACTGTCAAGAACTAGTGACCTGCTATTTATCTGTGCTTGCTTTCTACTGCATTATATTAAATAACAGGTTCTTTGGGAATATTTTCTTTTTTGCTTGATATTACAAGTGAAATAGCAATTCCAACCCTCTTTTTTTTTTTTAAACTTTCAGTTTTAAGTAAAACTGTAGGAAATAAAATTATTTGGTAAAATATGGTTACTGGTAAGATGTACACAATAACAGAGATATTCTAGACAATATGGTGACAAGGTCATTTGCTGAAACGTCACCAATACTAGGGTAAAAGGAAAGTTGAGCCCTGGAGGATTCATGGGTTTTTCTTTGTTTTTCCAGTTACTCTGTGTTGTGACCTGCAATAACCCCTCTGTCGGGGCTCACCACTTGAATTCCAGCTGCACTGGAATGTGGCAGCTTCTTCTCAGGGAGTGATGCTGCAGTGATGATTATGATATTTAAATGAATTTTCTTTTGCAGCCTAACTCAGGATTTGGAAACAGGTTTTCTGAAATACATACCTTCATTTAGTGTAAGTTGTATTTGGCAAAAGATTCTGTTAACTAGCTTCTTAACCATCTTTCCTAGCTCCTTCCATCCCAAAACACAGCAGAGCACAGGAGACTGATTTTTAAAGTTAACCTTCTGACATTTGGGCTTTGAGATGTTTGAGGAATAAGAAATTTTGTGTTTGCATGTAGGTTTATGCTGTTTGTTCTCCTTATCGTATTTCATACTATGATTTTACAGGTGAAATTTATTGGTGAAATCAACATACCCGTGAAGAGAAGATTTTGGTGTGCTTGTATCTAATTCTGAGCAATATATGACCAAACCTTTCTGTCTTTGTCACTGAGACCCTTCAGTAATATACATACAGTGCTGCTGTCTGTAGTGACCAGTGCTCAGCTGTTGAAACTGATTTCCTCAAGTGGTTATGTTTCCATGCTGCACGGTTTGCCCTTTTAAATTACAAACTCCACATTGTTTTCCTCTGAAAGTGGAAAATAAGGGTGATTCAATCATTTTCGTGAACCGTATGTGTGTATGTATATTATATATAAATTGTGTATTAATTGAAGATATAATTTACAAAATATACTATAAATTTGATTAGGATATTTTCAAGAAGTACTCATTGATTTCAGTATACTGTAGTGGTATGAGAAGTTCAGTCCAGCCTTACAGTTATGCAGATTTAGAGTGGTTTGAGAGATTTTTATGTCAAAGAGCAGTGAACAAACTAAATATCCTGATTAAAAAAAAGGAAAATTTTTTTGCATGTAGACAACAATAAAATGAAATTATTCTTACATGCCCAGAATTCAAGTTTAAATTAAAGTAGTTCTACCAAGGGATAAAAAACCTTTCAGTTTCATCTTAAAAAAAAAAAAAGAAAAAAAAAAGAAGAAAACGCCCCACAAAAATTCTCAGCCTTATGCCTTTTTCCAAGCCAGACATTTGCTGGTATCTACTTCGTGGATCTGTAGTGCATGCTTTCCCTCACTTCCAGAGCAGAACTCCTGCAGAGTCAGTGGGCATGCTGAGCGCAGAGTGAAAACAGGCTGTGCAAAAATTATCTGCTGCGTAGATCAGAGGAAAGGGCTGCTTAAACATGTCATCAGAGTAGCAAGGACTAGTCTAGAAATGCAAAAAATATGCCAGTAAATTCATGTGCTGGAAAGGGTGCGTTTTTACCTCCAGATCAGGGAGTGATATGTGAGAGGCAGTTGTTTGTGTCTCAATTTCTGTAATTTCAATAATTATAAGAACTTTTATATTTTATTAAACCCCCTTATTTGCTAGATAAAATTTCAGCAAATGAAATGAAAATGCACCTTTTTGTTATGCTTCTGAAGAAGACTTTCTAAGCACAGCTTTGAATAATACCTCTTTCTCTTGCTTTTTATATGCAAAATCTGCCACAGTTGACACCTCCAAGAGCTGACATTTCCTCCCCCACTTATGAATAAAGAGCCTCACCTCTGGTAATCTCATGCAGTTTGAAGGGTAGACACAGAAGACAAGGTGGTTTGGCAGATCCTCAGGAAGCTGATAAATTAGGAGGGTTTATGAAATCTGGGGAAAAATAACTGGTCATTTTCTTTACTTTTCGACACATGCATTTATTGAGAAATAATTGCTCCTTTATTTGTAGGGACATTTAAAGGTCAGAAAAATTGTTTCCTTTTTAGATAGAATAGAGGCACTGGAATGCCATAACCTACATTTATCCAATTATATGTTTCGTTGAGGGATTGGCTGGAATCCAGATGCAGTAGTTAGAATAAAAGGCTCCCTGTCATTTAAGTCTATGTGAAATAGTTCACTGCTTGCAATTGAATCTGCAGAACCTTATCTGTTAAGCTTAAAAAGCCCCCAGTAAACTGGAATACTCTCGAGTGTTTAGTGACTTCTAGAGTGCTAAAGTGCATGAATAATTTTGCTTTGTAGGCAAGTATTCTGCAGTTAGAACTTTTGAAAATACTGATCTGTGCCATTGTTTTCTTATTGTTTGCTTTGTGTATTTGATGTGCATAGTTTTGGTGGGAAGAGTATTGCCAGAGGCCTTTCACCCTAATTTTCCAATAACACTGAAATGATCTCTCCATATGCATTTTGTGAGCAGAGCCATCAAGGGAGACTGACACAGTATTTAAGCAGCACTCGATTTAGCCCTTGTACATGTTGCCTAGTCTAGCAGTTCCTGACTTTGAAAGCAGTTGAAAAATTAAAGACAAATGTTGTCTGGACTTCCTGGGATTTGTTTAAATTTGAAAATCTAAGTTTCTTTATGATACTTGTCTAATTTTATGGATTTCCTGTGGAAGATTTTATCTTCAAGACTTCTGCTTGCCAAATACTTTTCTCTAATGAGTTCTCTTCCTCTTTTTATAACTCTGCTTAAATATTTATACAACTTTGTGCACTTGTTTTTTCTGTCTTGGAAAAGATGAGAAATAAGAACTAGAATTCACTTTGTGGACACTTTAAGATGCTCACTTCTGTAATCTCAGCGATCCTTTCCAAAATGAATTTATGTTGAAAATCTGCCAATATCAGTGAAAATTGCAGTATTGTCATAAGATGCAGATTTGCTATGGTTATTTCCATCTTTATAGCTTATAAATATCTACAGGTTAAACTGCTACACCTGTTGAATATAGATTTGATGCAGATAACTGCCTTAAA